GGGGAGTATCGGGGACGGCGACGGGGTGGGTGGCATCGGCCGACCTTTTGGACGGGAGCCAGGTGCCGCAAGCACGCAGCGCGGCGACTAATGACAAAAAGCCATTCAGTCGGATCAATTTCATAAATCTGGACCGTGGAGCGCCACGCCGCCGACGCGCGGCGTCAATTTTCACGTTTTCGCAGTAAAATGGATGGAGGAAACGTCGGTCCGTCAGAACTTGGGGGGTGGAAAACGGCGCGGAATCCGCATGGAAAAACGTTTTGTCATATTGCGGCCAAGTAAGCAGAGAAGCTCTCGGAGGTGATGGAACAGCTCAGGACGCTGATCAAATAACGCTCCGCTTTAGATTTCCTGTTGTTATTGGTATTGACTCTTTAATCTAACACACTGAAATACTAACAGCATGCGCCTATCTAAAACAGAAAACGGAAACGGCCCACTGCCAAAATTTTGGCAGTCGATAACGTTGGTTGAAAGTAAAATGACATCATTCGAACGAATTCTCTATGTGAAAACTTTCATCCAAGCCGGGGGCATTACATCGCAAAAATATTGTTCCTGCAATTTGCAAGCATTTTTCTACACTCTCACTCTCACTCACCGAGGATGCCCAGCCTGAAGTTGAGGGTGATGACGATGAGGCGGCCGTGCGCCGCCAGCACGCTACCGTCGTACGGGTTGCCCGAATTCCACTCGTACGACTCGCCGTGCACGTAGACCACGGTGGGCAGCGACGCCGAGTCGAAGTCGGCTGCAAAGCAAAGAGAAAAACACACGTTAAGGTCGGGTCGACGATAAAGTAGACATATTACACTCTATAATGTCAACGAAACATTTTGTTCATTATAAAAAAAACAAACAAACAATTTATTTGGTATGGATGAGCATGAAAACGTACAATTTTTAGGAACAAAATTGTCCCTTTCACATTTAGAGTGTATGTCACACGGTGTATACATTTGGTGGGCCTTTTCGCATTTTGCGAAATGCGGTAGAAAAGGCCACACTACATCCACTACCACGTCTTGCCACCTTTTCACACGCTCCGCTTTTCGCGGCCATCACCATCTCCCGCCCGGAAACCCGCCATGGAAACATTCTTAACTTTGGGGCTCCTCCTTTATTCCCCACCCGCCTGCTCTCTCTCTCTCTCTCTCTCTCACTCTCTCTCTCTCTCTTCTCTTGCACACACTCTAGTCTCCTCAGGCCACTACCCTTTCCCTGCCCCCCGTCCTTCCTCCCTTTCCTAACTTCCAACCCCCACGGCGAACGGAAGTCGTTGTGCACATGGCGAGAATGGCGCGCCACGGAGAAGGATTTTGAAAGAGTGGGATGCAGGGGGGAAGGGAAGGGAAGGGGCGGTAAAGGGAAGAGGCAGTCAGTGGCAGGAGGATCAAGAGGGGGGTTGATGGTACAGCATCGCAAGGCGGCGCCTGCAGGAGTTTGAGCGGGCAGCGGCGGCAGATCAGATGAGAAACGTCTGGTCAAACACAATTGCACCGACCGTCTCCAGAGAAACAGCTCTGAAAATCCAACAGTACGACGGTGCGACAGAGCGACAGTGCCAGAGATTGAAAAGAATTCGTGTATTGAAAAAAAAAAAACGTTCATGGAATTCTTATTCCTTTGTTGGAACAGTAGGACTCTCTAACAGTTGTACTCTGATGAGTATTGGAAGATTGCTTGTCTCTTCATTGTAACAATTTCATCTTCAATTCCCTGATGCACAAGAGACTAAACAGACAGACGCTCAGATATAAAGATGGAGAAATTGATGGCGATATGGACGCACAGCACTTCGATGGCCGGTCGGCGAGAAGCTGTACAGGGCGTTATATGGGTCCTTGTAACGATATTACTTTTTCACGTTGAAACACACTTGGCGCGACAATGGGCACGCTATATGGTCAGCAGCACCAGCCGATTGCTCGAGAGGAAGGAGAAGGGCGAAGGTGAGGAGGAGCACACTGCCAGCCATAAATAACTGGCCTGTGGCCGTCCCCTGCACCCCCTGCCGGGTGCGGCACTGCCCCGCCCCGCCCCGGGGCCAGCAAGACGCTGCTGCCGCTGCCGGGGGACACACGGAGACAAGGGTGGAGGTCGGCGCGGCGTGGCGCGGCGGGTCACCCAGTTGGTGCGCCTGCCAGGACGAGCAGCCCCCTCCCCCCCCC